AGGACAGTGGACCTGTAGGGTCTCATGCACAGGACTTTTCCCAGGACTGATTCCCCCAGAGTCCTTACAAAAAATGTTTGCCCAGAGGTTCCCCTCGATAATGGAAGGAGATGGCAACCATCCTCGCTGGCGTAGTGTCTCCAGATGGAGTCCCCCGGAGTGTCCTGCTACATGAATTGACGGATGACCTGATGGGCTCTCTGGCGGCAGTAGAGCTGGATCACAGCAGGACACGAATAATGTGCTTTGTCGACAATCCACATCGGCAAGCAGGGGCGCCAGGAGTGGGGCAGGAGCGAGAGTCCAAACGGGAAGGGTGATGCACACCGTTGGACTCTTTATCACAGGCTTCTTCTCCCATTCTGGGGGTTCAAAGCGCTAGCTCCAAGGTAGGCGGGTCTACAATTGACAAGTCCCCCCTACCTGTACCCTTCTTGCTCTGGGGGCCTACTTCGGTGGGGCAAGGGGTAGTTGGCTTACTTGATGCACCTCCCATTGGGTCTTTCCCCAGGGGGGTGCAGCTTGGTCTCGGGTGGCAGGCTCTGAGCCCTTCCCTTTTTTGGCATAAGTATAGGCCTCAGAGGATAAGCCCCTGCCAGCAGAAGAAGCCCAAAAAAATATAAGACAGTGTCTTATTTTCGGGGAAATACGGTATCTAGTATATCAGGATTAACGTATCAGTATTCCCTATAACATGACTATCTACATTCACCGCTCTGTATCACTTGTTGAAAAGAACTTCTTAAACGATGAATATATGTACATATAATATTTCTGTGTGCAGACATAATCTCAATAAATATGAGTACAGTTATTCAGCCCAGGCTCGGCTAAAGCAAAAACCGGCCAAACTTAATGGCTCAGAAGATGATATTTGCCATCGTTACTTTTTATCAACTGAACAATGTCTTCATGGGTTATAGGAGATGCAACAAAAGACAGTATATTCGGTTAACCCTGGAGGATTTATCTCCCCGGACAGCAGTCCGTATGAGTGATAATCCCAAAGGGAAACCTCCGACAGGGCCCCGGTTAGCTTACAGCCGTACCACAACAAATTGTGAAGCTGAATATACTTATCTCCTCCCAAGGAGTTAGGCTGGGTTCACACCTAGGCGTATAGAATATGCGCGTTTGTCGTGCGTTTCGTGTCGCACGTTTTTACCGCGATTCGCTACCTGGCTGTATCCCAATGGATACGCGCAGGAAATACGCCCCAAAGAAGCTCCTGTACTTCTTTGGGCGTAGGGCGTTTTGTAGCGCGTTCATACGGCCTGTAATACGCCCAGGTGGGAACCATACCCATAGGAAATAATGGGATTTCGGTGTTTGAGCATTTTGCAGGGCGTAGGAACGCACTACAAAACGCCCAGGTGTGAACCAGGCCTAAAGTGCTTGGAACAGTTCAGTGATGCGAGTAGCGTCAACACATGCCCATATACTGGATCCAGAATTCCATTTCCATATTTTGTTTGTGATCGAACATGTATGGGGTCAATAAGCCAATGTAGGGAACACAGATGCCAAACTGCTCCTTTACGCATTTCTCCCCAAATAGGGGCTTCATCAGAGGGGCGTATTTTTGCGCAATTACTTGGATAAAGTCTGTGTCCTAGGAATGGGTGCCATATTTAGGTCTGTGTTGATGGGCTTTTGTTCAGTTGAAGCTGGTACAAGTGTATAGGAATGCAAAACCTGCTTGATGCAGATCAGAAGGAGGTCAACTGTACCTGTCAAGAATTCTGAATGATCTCAGCAGTGTGCCAAACTGATGCCATTGACAAAAGTTCATAGCCCATTGACACAGACCCTTACTGCATTTCTGTGTTTTAGATGACCACATCCGGAGGTGGAGGCTTCTGTGACTGCGGAGATGCTGAAGCTTGGAAGGAAGGTCCATACTGCCAGAAGCATGGAATGCACATCTCTGAAAAAGAGTCAGAGGTAAGAAGATGGACACATGAACCAGCAGCTCTCTCTTCCTCTATGCTGAAAGAACAAACAAATTGTGAAACTAAGACATGTTGAATATAAAGCTGCTTTCCATAGGGTTACCATGCTGGGATAGACCTGAATAGCCTGTATTGTGACCAGATCTACATAACAGTCGCACCAAGTCAATGTTTACTCCTAGTGACCATGCGAATGGTGTTTTCTCATCGGTGATCCATCTTCTATTTCAGTCTATAGTCTTCGCAACATCATGGTCATACTTTTTCTTAGTCTATCTGGTGACCTCATTGCTGGTTGGCGTCTTTTCAAGCGTAATAATCTTTCCCAGTGAATTGATTAATTTCATGATCTAGCAAAAGTGAGATGCCTTCAGTCTAGTCACCAGAGATTTTAGTGAACAAGTAAGATTCATTTCTTTGCTGTCTATAATATTCTTAGAATTCTACGCCAACACCAAAGTTCAAAGGCATCAATATTTGTATTATCTTGCTCATTCGCTGTCCTGGTTTTTACATCCATAGAAAGTGACAGAAGATACCAAAGTTTGGACAAGTCTGATCTTTGTGTATTTAAGGATCCTTTCTATCTCTTTTATCCTTGCTCTTCCCAGTGCCAGCGTGTGTCATGTTTCTTGAATGGCGGATCCTTTGTTGTTAATAGATCCAGGGAAGTAGATGATGTCTTCTATTCCCATGTCTTTACCATCAGCTCTGAAGTTAGGTGTATTTCCTCCTTATAACCTCGTTATACGTTCCATATCCATATACATGGATTCCTGATTGGCCAGCTTCCCAACCAATCAGGAAGCCGGGCGGCGAGTCATTAACCACCCCCGGCTTCCTGATTGGCCAGAAAGCCGGCTTCGTGCTTTCTCGTCACCTAGTGACGCAGGAGCAGGGAGCTGGTTAATCGGGATGCTGGGGGGCGAGTCATTACATGCCGCCCGGCTTCCTTAATGGGACTTTAAGTATCGGTATTCTCGATACCGAAAAAACGGTATCGGTGCATCCCTACCAAACACCATTAGATTTTTTTTTTGTTTAGCCTGTAGGGTGAAGGAAATTGAACAGATTTCCCCCTGCTTCCTATTTCTACTTTTTACCTTGCTTTTTCTCTTCCTATTGTATGTTCTATACTGGTCAGTTTTGGTCTTCGTTTCTTGTTTTACTCTGTGGCCTCCTCTCGGTGTATGGCTGTGACTCTAACAGCGTAGTCAGCTTTTGTTTTCTTGATCCTTGGCTGAAGTCCCATCTTTTCACTCTGTTCTTTAACTTTCTATATGAGACGCTTGAGGTCTTCTACATTATATTTTATTATACATCAACACCATTACAGTCTCACTATAGGCTTGATCTGACTACTTTTTCACTTTTTCATAGGATCCACTTATTCACTTATCAGAAGATATGGTGGCACGAGCTTACAATATTTTTGCAATAATGTTTCAATATACAGTGGATATACTCACATGGGAGAAGGAAAATGAGCTGCCTCCAGGACTGGAGTGTGTGTAAGTAACAATAGCTGTATCTGTGTTTTAGCAGTGTCTCTTTAGGATGATGGGGCTTGCCTAGTAAGCAGAGTTGCTCCACTGGCTGATCATGTTTGAAAAGCACCTAACAAAACCAGATGCATATTTATGTGTAATTGATAACTGTGGGAATCCTGCCAAACTGATACGTATTTTGCTGTATCAGTAGCCACAAATAGTTTTGTTTGCTGTGCATTTGATTAGTGTGACCTCTTCCAGTTTTTTTGCACTGTGTGGCAACTTCAGAGATACTTGGGCACAAAGAAGGACCTTAGGCGCGATATCATTTGTCTCCTACCATACTAGCAACTAGTAATGTAATACTAGTATTGCGGTGTGAGGGGTAGTGATGGTTCCTGTGTTCGGTTCTATACGAACTTTCAAACATGGGAAACTCGAACTCAATGCAAGTCTATGGGGCTAGAACTTTGAAAATCAAATGTCCCCATTTTGAAGCCTTATATGCAATTTATCGGCCATAAAAAGGGTATGAGGGTCCGGGTACTGCCCTGGGGGACATGTATCAATGAAAAAAAAACGCTTTTTAAAAATATAGTTTTTAAAGGAGCAGTAATTTTGACATCACTTAAATGGTAACAATAAAAATGAAACATTCCTTTAAATATCGTGCCTGGGGGGTCCCCTTAACCCGCCTGTAAAGTGGCGCATCTGTACTATGTATAGAACCTGCTGCAGCAAAACTGACATTTCTAAAGAGAAAAAAATTACTTTTTTTTTTTTTTTTAAACGTGCGGTTCCCCCTCCCAAACAATACCAGACCCTTTAGGTCTGATAGGAATGTTAGGAGGGGCCCCATTAAAAAAAAAGCGTGGGGTTCCCTCCAAAAGTCATACCAGATCCTTAAGGTCTGGTAGAAATTTTAAGGAGGCACTCCACCCCAAAAATGGGGGTGGGGGGGGGGCACATGGGGTTCCCCCAAAATTCCCAACCAGACCCTTGATCCGAGCGCAGGAAAGGGGTTGGGGGTGGCAAGCGAGCGGGCCCCCCTCCCGTACCATGCCCTCGGAAATTTTCCAGGGTCATCCTTGGGATCAAGGGCTTCTTCCCCACAAGCCCTGGGGCGTTGGTTGTGGGGGTGCGGGCAGGTGGCTTATTCACATCATGGTACCCATTCTATAAAGAGTTAAAAAAAAAAAGGATTAAATAAAAACACCAGACTCATCAAAAATCCTTTATTTGAAGAAAAAAAAACACAACAAAGGATTTTTGACAAGTCCTTTTTATTAAAAAAAAAACCCCCAAAATTGCTCCACCAATGTAATCCAGGGTCAATCACGACGTCCAGCGTTGTCCACGACGACGACAACTCGCCAAAATAAAACTATAAAAAATAAATAGAAATTATTTTTTTTTAAACGACGACCGTCCCTGCGACAAACACCGCCGAATTTACGTTTGGCTCGAACATTGAGCCCATCCCTAGTAAGGAGTACACATGTCCCATTTAAAATCTGATTGGTTGCTGTTAACACGTAAAAAAAATTGCATTTTACTGTATCGTCCACTTTTAATGAATGTTCTCTAAAAATAGGTCCACTTTTATTAGAGTTATGGTTGACAAGCTTCTTTTGGGATGTAGTGAGTTGTAGCATTTTGTAATTTTTTCCCAGAGACAAGGACGACACCTATTACTGCATGTTGTTTAACGATGAAGTTCATACCTACGAGCAAGTGATCTATACTCTGCAGAAGGCAGTCAACTGCAGCCAGAAAGAAGCCATTAGTTTTGCAACCACTGTTGACCGAGATGTGAGTTTTTCCTGTTTGTGTTTGTTAGCAGAACCTCGCTTTGGAATGTTACCTTCTGTCTTGTGCATACATTCTGAATGTACTGTGGAGGGTTTTGGAAAATAATCTGTTTCTGTTTTACAGGGACGGAGATCTGTGCTCTATGGAAGTTTTCAGAGTTGTGACCAAGCCAAGTCGGTCATAGTGGTGAGTGTCACATGCTTCATTGTTTTTTATTTTACTATATGCTCTGAATTTGAATATAAGAAATATTTTAAAGGGTATATAAACCTAAAATTCTAAAATCATAAAATGCTTGCTTACATTGCAGTAGTACTATTGTTATTTGTTTCCTGTTTGCTCAATCTGATGATCCTGCCTCTGATATGCTTTAGCTCAACTTCTTGTCCAACGGTGACAACACTTCCTAAACAGGAGAAGCATTGTCACCCAAGGTTGTACACTCCTTCTACACTCCTTCTGTGGAGCTGACGTAACAATTTACAGAGCTAAAACACATACAGCTTGATAGCTTTCCATAAGGCGTGCCCACAGCCAGGAATTGCAAGGCATCTGGTGACACCCAGTTCAGGATAAACTGGCTATGTTTAGTTGAACTTCAGTTACATGGAAGGTGGGAAGTGAAATCAAGTCCACATGCCGCAACCTCCCTTAAACTTGGGGTCTGTTCATTCTTCTTGGAATACCTGTTGATCAGCAAAGCTCCTACCGTCCAGAGCGCTGTTTGGCTTTCTTTGTAAAAATGCAGCCCCCCCATTGCAAAGCTGTGTATATTGAGATCAAGCAGCCATAATAGTCTTGTTGCTGCTTAGTCAGTGCTCTTTTACTAACATCATTTGTTGTTTCGAGGAATGTTGTGACTTTTGTTGGCGAAAAAAAATAAAATGGTAGTCCACTTGCAAAGTAAAATACTTATGCTTTTAATACTGACCTGATAATGCTTTCTCTTTTCAGAGGAACACCAGCCGGCAGACTAAGCCTCTTAAAGTACAGGTCATGTACTCCGGCATTGTAGCGCACCAGACATTTGGACTCCGAATCCTCAGCTGGCTCGGACAGATCATTGGCTACTCGGGTATATTTTCAGTGCATTTTAAAGCTCTGGTGTATAAACTTACCTGGGTGGATGGTGTCACTGCCCTCCACGTGACAGTGTTCAGGCATGATGAATGGCTGCTCAGGTCTGAGCACTGTCACATAGGGGGGGGTCACGTGCTCTGTATTGCTCTGGAGGTCTTGAAAGATTGGTGACTATAGTTTGTTGGTACCGTGTTTCCCCGAAAATAAGACAATGTCTTATATTTTTTTGCCCCAAAAAACATGCTAAGTCTTATTTTCAGGTGATGTCTTTTTTTTTTGAGTGTTCAACATAATGTACAACAATCCAAAGTTATCTGGTATCACTCCGCCTATCACAGTAACCGGCGCTATAAAGGGAGTATCGGCTAATACGGCTCTGCTCCCTCCGCCGCCGCAGCCTTGCTTTCTACAGCGCCGGCTTCCTTTCCCATCAGGGACAGCGGTACCAGTGGTGCAGCAGTGGGGACATCAAACAGTGGACAGCACGGTAAAGTACTGTACCATTTACCGGTACACATTACAGTACAGTAACATTACATTAAGCAGTGCCTTCAGGGGGACAGCAGTTGGTGAAGTATGGTACTGGAGTGCTCCCTGTCACTGCGCTGGCCGGAGGGAGTCCCCTGTCATCCCCTTAATACAGTATGTCCCTGCAGGCTGATACCATCTCTCCTGCTCTTGCTACCTCACATGCTACCACCAAACTAGGTCTTATTTTCGGGGTAGGTCTTGTTTTCGGGGAAGCACGAAAGATGTGGGCATTTAGGAGAGGGATTCATTGGCCATTCATTGGCTTTCTAAAAAGTTACAATAGGGCAGCCTTACTTCTCAGGAAAAGCTGAATGTCTCACCTAGAGAAATGTTATTGAAATAGAACAAGGTGGCACTAGATGCCAAGTCTAACGAACGGGGGTTTGAACTTTTGGTATTTACATTGAAAACCTGAATGATCTGTTGCAGTCCATGCTTCTGTGTGTTTGATTTATTCTGCTTCTCTCCAGATGGGCTAAGGAGAATCTTGTGTCAGGTTGGTTTACAAGAAGGTCCAGATGGTGAAAACTCCTCTCTCGTAGACAAATTAATGCTGTGTGATTCCATATTATGGAAAGGTAATATTCCACAGATGTTTGTATGTTTTTCTACTCCTTTTGTAGATCACATTTATTTTGTTTTTCTGTATATCTAAAGTTGCTCAAGCATTATTGTTGAAAGGTACAATCGCAGTTAATATTGACTTGTAAAGAAGTCTAAAATAGTACAGGGTCACAGGCAAGCCCGAAATGGTATCACAGCGTCAGGATTACTTTACTGTAAAGCACACTTTATGCAAGCAGCTAAGTGAACAGTTAAAATACAGTACATATATGAGAGGTGTTTACATGGCAAAAGATTTTTAGTTTTTTTGTCTCTCCTGATATTTATACAGCCCTGATAGACTGCACAGCCAGCCTGGTGACCTTACTTGTCTCTATTGTAGTTAAGTAACAAAGGTAGGTCGCCTTTGTTACTTAACACCCCCCACCCTGTGATTGGACAGTGAAGGAGTGGCAACATACTGATGATGACGACCTCCCCAGGCTCTCTTCCTGTCAGAATGTTTCCTATTGTCATTGGCACCTAAATGAAAATGCATTTCTTGTTTATATTAAATAACTGCATTCATTATGGTTTTTCAATATCTATTTAAAGGTTAGCTTTAAGAAAACTTTGAACTAAGAGAACCTCACAGAGGCTGCAAAGTTGGTGCCATTAAATGGCAACACTTAACCCACTGCTGATCATCTGCCAGGCTATAACCCCCCCAGCCCCCAGATTTATTTGCAAGGCTTGACTTTACCACCTCCATGTGACAACACCAAGGCCTGACAATTGGGTGCTGGGGCACTGAGCATTGAAGCTGGGAGGGGGGTTGACTTTTTTTCACATACCCAGTAGTATATTGGGAAGTACAGAAAGTACACTGTATGGCCAAAAGTATGTGGACACCCCTTTCAAATTATTGCGTTTAGGTGCACAAAGTCAGGTCTATAAAGACATAGTCTGTTGAGTTTGGTGTGGAGGAATGCGAGTGGCCTGCACAAAGCTCTGACCTGAACTCTATTGAGCATCTTTTGGATATGTACAAACATGTAGTGAAGATCCAATACAAGGAGTCCGCATAGTTCTCTTTCTTAACCATAGATTTATTGTGTAAAAGGTATGCACAGGCAAATCAACATCAACAGAGGAACCTTGATGCATTTCAATTAAAGATCTTATTTGTAAGCACCATATTAATGCCATGTCTTTGGAATACAATGTCCAACACGCTTATATACTGTGTGTGTGTTATATGGTAAGCTGTCCGCAAACCTTTGGCCAGATGTGTAATCCGTACAGAGTGTCTAATAATCTGGGTGCTGTAGAAATATACACACATTATGCAAGCACACACGTCAACTACAATTATAGCAGAATGTGTTAATATTATTTGTTTTTAGGTGCCAGAAACTGCTACCACCAGCTCTTCATGAGCAGCTTGCTGATGGATTTAAAATACAAGAAACTTTTTGCCATCCGATTTGCTACAGTAAGTTGTCTTTCGCTTTTCTTTTTTAATGCTTTAATTATTTTATTCTGTTCAGTCTTTAGGAGTTAGCTGAGTGTCCGTTCCTTTCCCTTCCTGGTAATAGGTCTGAAGGGCACTGCAACCATTTTAGCACTGAGCAGGAGACCAGCATGTGGAGATATTTGACATGTGACTGTCTTAAACAGGATCTGATTCAGTTTCTGAATAACAGTTATTCTAGATAGTCGTGGTAAGGTCCCTCTGCCTATATGCTATTATCTGGGAGGGGCTCATTTATTTTAGCGGGAAAGACACCTTTAGTAATGGAAGCTAGTACTTTGTATAATAAAGAGTAGTGATATTTGGAAGGTAAAGTGTATGTAAACCCTCAAGGCTAAGCCACACGACAGGATTGCTAACAAATCACTTACCAGTTTAGTGGAGTTGCGCTCTCTCTCCCTCGCTCTCTCTCGCATTCTGGGCCAGCGAGGGAGGGTACAGGTAATGCTCTGCTGGGGATGTCGCCAGCAGCTGAATTGCTCATGTTACATCAGCCTCACAATAAACTAAAAGGGGAAAAAGCTCTGTCATACAACACTTTACCCAGATTATTTTTATATCATTTTTTGAGACAGCGCTTTCTTTTACTGATATTTAATAACCACTTTAAGAAAAAAAATGTTTTTACTAAAAAAAAAACAAAAAAACTTTTGAAACAAAAAAACATTTCCCCTTAATTTCTGTTATAAAATATAGCAAATGAAAATGACAGGACAATACCAAAACCGCCAAATGTCCCCTTTTTGGAAAGATCTAATTTTTTGGCACATTTTTGGGGAAATGAAGAAACATGGCGGTATTGAGGGGGTTAAAACATGGAGCTAGATAATGGTGCACTAGAGACATGAAATATACAGGTCATACACTGAGTGAGGAGGAATTGAAGGGGTTAATATACCTGTCACATAGAGGGAGGATGGATCACTCCTGTGATGGACTACAATCTCAATACAATTTAGTAAACTAAACATGAGATTGTAGTCCATCATGGGAGCGAGCTTGGAGCGGTGGCTACTTTACAACACACACAGGGACTATGGGGAATAAAAGTAGTCACCGCTCCAAGCTCACTCCTGTGATGGACTACAATCTCAATACAATTTAGTAAACTAAACGTGACACCGTAGTCTATCAAGGGAGCGGGCTTGGAGCTGTGGCTACTTTACCACAAGGTTAGTAGTTGTAAAGTTAAGGTTCTTGAATGGATTTTTAAGATTCAACTCCTGAGTTTAGTGTCACTTTAATGTTCAATCTTTTCAACAACCCTTTGTGAATATACAGTTTAATGAAATGCATATGGGGCGGCCATAATCTAGGGGTGCTTTTTGAAAAATCCTTTTATTCGATCTAGGGGTGCTTTTATAGTGATTTGTATTTTACACTTTCTCCTACTCAGTGTAGATCTTGGGTTATTGAGCAGAGAAGTTGGCTGAAGGCCTGATTTACAGATATAGCCACTAAAAAAAGATTCAACAAAACTGTTTAATAATGAAAAATATGGTACAGCAAGTGCATCCACCTTCAGCA